TGGAGGAGCTAATCACAGCCATGCCACTCAGGATCTCTATGACTCAATTGCAGCTGGAAACTATCCTGAGTGGAAGCTTTTCATCCAGACAATGGATCCTGACCATGAAAACAGATTCGACTTTGACCCACTTGATGTGACCAAGACCTGGCCTGAGGACATCTTGCCCCTGCAGCCTGTTGGGCGCTTGGTGTTGAATAAGAACATTGACAACTTCTTTGCTGAAAATGAACAGCTTGCATTTTGCCCTGCCATTGTGGTTCCTGGAATCTACTACTCAGATGATAAGTTGCTTCAGACTCGAATTTTCTCCTACTCTGATACCCAGAGGCACAGGCTTGGACCAAACTATCTGCAACTCCCACCCAATGCTCCCAAGTGTGCTCATCACAACAATCACCATGAAGGTTTTATGAATTTCATGCACAGGGATGAGGAGGTACTGCACCATTTTTCTATTAATCTCTCCTAGCATGACAATGGGTTCCTGATTGTGTAAAATGGGTTGAACTAAATATATATGTTTGTTTTCAAGACACGCATAGATTAAGCATGCATGCTTTAAGTCATGATGGCCAGTGTTCTGATCAGATGCTATGATGCTGTTTTTCAGATCAATTACTTCCCTTCAAGGTATGATCCTGTTCGTCATGCTGAGAGGTTCCCTATCCCTCCTGCTGTTTGCACTGGAAGGCGTGAGAAGGTCAGTGCCTGTTCCTTCTGTCTGATTTTCAAAGTGATGTTTGCAATTTCAACCAAGTTTAGCAGTGCAGTTCATGTTTGTTCAGTTACATGAGCTTATATGTATGTTTTTGCACAATCCAGATATAGACAACCATTTGCTTGATTTTGACGTTCAACTTTTGATATAAAAGCTGCAAAAGAAGCATTTGAAGTAATTATTAATTTCCCACCATCCAATGTTGAAGCAATAGTAAACAGCATGTTTGTCTGATTGCTATGTACAGGGAAGAGGGTAGGGGATGGTATTCACTCTCTTTCTTTATGGTTTCTATTTAAGTTTCAAGCTTTGCGGTGTCTTGTCTCCTTTAAGTTTAGCACACAACTTCCAAGATTATCTACAAATCGGTATATCTTTGGTTGGTGAGAGTAATGTACTTACCAAGTCTTTTGGTTTATGCAGTGCATTATTGAGAAGGAGAACAACTTTAAACAGCCAGGAGAGAGATACCGATCCTGGGCACCAGACAGGTATCATTGGGTTCTAAGCTATTTTTAAGTTTTGAATTAAAATAAATGGATAAATCCAAATATCTGTCTCATTTTTTCTTTTATTTTGCTTTGTATTACTGCAACCAGGCAAGAACGATTCATCTGCCGTTGGGTTGATGCCTTGTCTGATCCACGTGTCACTCATGAAATCCGCAGCATATGGATCACATACTGGTCTCAGGTTAAACTCTCTTTCCTCTCAATGCTTCTCAAATCATATCAGTGTGAGCTTTATAGGTCTGATCTTTGGAATTAACTTACTCATGTGGTATCAATGAATGACGTGTGATACAGGCTTGCAAATCTTTGGGTCAGAAGCTAGCATCTCGTCTCAATGCGAAGCCTAGTATTTGAATAGACTATCGACCTGGATGCTTGGAGTTGCAGAGGGTGATGAGCGAGGACTGAAATATATTGGTTGTTTGGGGACAATAAACTTCCTGTTGATCCTTTTGTTCTCTGCCATATTGTAATATGTTCTAAACAAATTTGCATGTATGTATGTGAGTTTATCCTGATCGTCCTATTTAATAAATGCTGTATGCATAACATGTACTATTTATTTTCTGACCTGTTCGAATCGAAATTGCACTGCTACATTGCTGGAGTACCATGAATATTGATGATAGATGCATGCTTGTCGCTGTGGAATCTTGGCCCTACCTTACGCATTACTTGGCATATTGTCTCAGTCACGTCTCGCTTCATGCAGCCAGAAACGGCAATGCCCCGGCGGCAGTGCGGCACTAAACCAAAACTAGAAATAAAAAACAAAATACTACGACTAGCACATTTCTCTTTCAACTCGTTGGGCTTTGCGTCCGCTTTGCTTACTCATATGCACGAATCAGGGTCCGTTTGATGGAATTTTCTGCTTATTCTGATCTGAAAGCTTGGCTTTCTTCCGAACTTTTAAGAGGCCTGAGCCTAAGCATTTTGGACCAGAAACAAGTTCGACATCTACTAATCAGATAAACTGGTCGAATAACAAATCGGACGCCAGAATTTTTGGTATGGATTAGTTCATCAAAAAAGAGAGAATAAGACAATAAAAAAAAAATCAATGCATAATGAACCCTGAAAAAACCGAGGCAAGATCCGTTCGGCCCGTGTCCTGAAACCGAGGATATTTGCTTGCAGTACCCAGCCTCGGGTATCCCGTTGGAACCAAGGACTATGTGTCACCCTCCCGTCTCGCGCTTGGGGGCGTTCCTTCCAACTTGCTCGTCTCAACTCAACTGGTCGGCTACACCCTTTCTCGTCCCCAATCGCATATATTCTGTCCTTGCCAATTATTTTAATACCTTGTCTCTTGGCAAATGTTAATAAATAGTATTTTCTTCGTATTTCATTTTTTTTATAAATTTTATAAAATAAATAAAATTTTAATTTTGAAATTCATTAGAATATATATATTTAGTACTTTTTAATATGATAAAAAAAAATTATAAAAAATAAAAACATTAAGTGTTAAGAGAGAGAGAGAGAGAGACGGAAGGACCAATGGCTTTTAGGAAAGGTTTACCTTTAACAATCTTTTTGTCATCTTTGGTGGCTTTTGTTACCAACAGTTTTCAGGATTTTCAAACTAATGATGTGAGACAAAGTGCCTATAAAACTCTCCCCTTCTTGTACAACTCGATTTCAAATTGAATTTTGTTTCTTTTTTTTCTAATTCAAACTTATGACATTTTAAGTTTTAACTGTTCCTGAAGTGTTTCCACTAAACACAGAAAGAAGTGAAAGCGAAATCACAATTTCTTTTCCTCCACTTTGTTTTTCTTTTTTTTTTCCTTCCAATCCTTTGCATTCAAACACAGAATTGAAGTAATATTAATGAAAAAATATACGGATTAGAACCGTACTATCACCAACGTTCATGAATTAACATTCAAAATCCTACAACATGCTAGCATTAAATGCATTTAATAATATAACTAGAATCTTCTTACCTCATAATCAATCCCACCACTACCTTTCAAGCACTGTCTGTTCTACGCATAAATCTTAAGTCATAACCTCACCTAAACTAAAGATTGCGTATGTGCACACGTTATAAATGCTATTCTCTCCGTCGCTATCTCTTTTTTCAGATATCCGAAAGTAAAATTATTTTTAAAACACTTAGTACTCTCTTTTTATATTATAAATGTATTTTTTTTTATGATTTTTATACATTTTTATATTAAAAATGATTGAATATGGTTTATTTTAATTTTTGTGAAAGTCAAAGAAGAAAATATGAAAACGGACCGAAGGATTAATATTTATTTTTTAATTACCTAACGTAATTTTGTTTTTTTGTTAATGAATTACACATTTCTCTTGGCCCTCAAATTTTGGTCTATATTAAAAGGTTATGCATGGTTGAAACAATAGGTACTTGGTAGTATACATTTAATTTTTTTTCCAAAGGCGGAGAAACAGTTTTCAGCGGAAAAAACAGAACTTAAAGGGGAAATGGCCTACATACTTTGCGTGGAATGGAGAGGATGTGGGTCACAGTGCTCGCCCTGGGCCTCTTGACTAGCGTGGTTACCACACGCCCGCTTGCCTTGCAACTAAACCTCAACTGTTCTTGACCGCAGCCTTTTTTTTTTTTTCTACATTAGAATATGCCATTTTACGTTGTTCATATCATAATTTTGATTGTTTGTAAGGCTTAAATAGCAAGAAAAATTCTTGAATTATGATAATCTTTTCAACTAAATTTTTTATCTTTTACTGTATTCAACCAAATTCTTAAATTATATTTAAATAAATTTTTAATAAAAAATTAATCATCATATTTAATATTTATTGATATTTTCTATTTATTTTATATATAAATATGAATTTATATTCGATAGAATGATAATTAATTTGGCGCTTTTGGAACGTTGTTAAAGAAATGGGGAATATAGAAGAAAATAAGGAGAACAGGAGCATAGGGAACACAGAATGATTGACAGACACAAATCGTCAGTATCAACGGATCCAGCAGGCAGAAAGCAAAAAAAGAAAGACTTTTAACTTATGTAACAATTAAAAAACTGAAGATTTAACTTTTGAAGTGAAGGGGAGAAAGTACCTGTCTGAGTCTGACTCAGACTCGCTTGGAGCAACCCATCGTGCACCAGTTGTTTGTTGAATATTATAAGTAAAATAAATAAAATAAAATTTGTTTGTATTTGTGGATAAATTAATAGAGAGAGAGAGAGAGAGGCGGGCGAGGGGGGCGTGGGTGTGGAGGCTGCTGTTGCCGAGGAGTGTGAGTGATGGGGGCAGAGAAAAGCATCTCGAGACTTTCTTCAAGTGGCACACACTCAAGAAAGCAACCCCATTTTTTATACCACTTGAAGAAACCTGATTCCACTTCTCATTTTAGTAATATTAGTATTATATAATACAGCAATACCTACCATATTTATATAACAAAGCACAGCAACGGCAAGGCAGATAAATTTGCCTGGTTTCTTTATCCAGCGGTGGGCTGCAAATAGTTGACCTTTTCCATCTAGAATTTCAAGGCCAAGGACGGGAGTTGTTTATGCGTGGCGTGGGGCCACTGCTTGAAAGGCAGAATCTTCATTCTCAATAACCTGGAATCATAAGAGTCTGAGTTTTCTACAGTGGGCGCAGATAATAACTATGAGAAGCAACTGGTCTTGTCCTGTGGAGTTGTGAAGAGAGACAGCCTGTTTCAAGCTTTTATGAGATCTGTCTTTGTTGCTCACGTTCTTGTTCCTGCTTCTTTAGACAGGTGTTTTTTTTTTGCCTTGAGCTGTTTCAACTTTCAAGAAAAAAAGTATAATAAAATAAATACAAGGAGAAAATAAAACATAATATAGGTATAGTACCGGTTTCAGACTTGCGGTATCTTCAAGAATCTCCACATAGTACATAGTGAGTTGCTGTCTCTTTTTTTTTTTTTTTGAAAGAAAATGAAAATCTCTTGCGTTTAATGATTAATGTTTTGGGTTATATTAGTACATAAACCAGATTAGTTAGCTCTGGTAATAGGGATTATGGTGAAAATACTTTCATTTAAGCGTATTTTCTTTATTCCTTCTGTTAAAACGAGAATCTTGAATCAAAAGTGGTAAAGGTATCAGGTGACCAACTTGGGAAGAATCTGTGGAAAGTGGGATTTTATTCTTTTGTTCTTTTGTTTTCGTTTTCAATTTGTGCCGTGAAAATATGGTGCTTCTCATATTGAGATTTATCCATTGATTGATTCTCGTCTTACTTGCTGGTGATTTCTATCTTTTCTTTTTCTTCTTGTGACTGATATTTGATGCGGAACAGCGAAAGGGAAGTCTAATCTTTATATGATACTCGTTATTTATTCCCTCTCCTTTGCCTTGAGCTTTTAGTCGATCGGTTTTGCTGTTTCCGATTCTCTGTGGAATTTCATTATATTCTCATGATCTTATCCAAGTTGGTGTTCCTAAAGAATTTGATCGGTCATGTTTGGTCAATATGGGCAGATTATCTTTTGAAGACTGAAATTCATCCTAGAAGTTATTCTTGTCAAATTTATAGTTGACATTAGATCATCCTGAAGGACCTTGGATTTCTAAATTCAGTGGGAATAAGGCCACCATGGAAGATGCCGTTTTCTCACCGGGCGCCATGCTGGGCGGGCCTTCAGATTCAGCAATGGACTTTGATTACATGGATGAATTGTTTTTAGATGGATGCTGGTTGGAGACAGCAGAGGGATCTGAATTCCTTACTCTTAGTCCGTCCAGTTCAAATGCTTTCTTTGATCCTGCATTCATGTGGCCTACTTCAGAGTCTAACACTGGTGATTTGGGTGCTGGCCTCTCTCAAATACATAATCAAGGAGAGAACCAGAGATCATTGTTGCCTGGGAATTCACATATGAATGGGACTCAAGCTGAAAGTTTGGTCAGTCCTCAATTTAGCCACATGGCTGATGTTGACAGAATTCACAGTCCACATGGTTATTGTATAACTGAAGGTTCTGAGCTGAGCAAAAGGTGGTGGATTGGACCCAGAACTAGTCCAGGTCCTGCAACTTCTGTAATGCAGAGGTTAATTCAGTCACTTGGTTACATTAAAGATTTCGCAAAAGAAAAAGATGTCCTTGTACAGCTATGGGTTCCTGTAAATAGAGGAGGTAGACGTGTTCTAACTACCAGTGAACAACCCTTTTCACTCGATCCCAACTGCCAAAGGCTTGCAAGTTACAGGAACATCTCCGTCAAATATCAATTCCCAGCAGAGGAGGATTCCAAGGACACAGCAGGACTGCCTGGTCGGGTTTTCTTGAGTAAGGTTCCGGAGTGGACTCCTGATGTCCGATTCTTTCGAAGTGATGAATACCCACGGTTAGGTCATGCTCAACAACATGATGTCCGTGGAAGCTTTGCCCTTCCTGTTTTTGAACAAGGTAGCAGAACTTGCTTGGGTGTTATTGAAGTTGTGATGACTACCGAGAAAATCAAGATTCGTCCTGAGCTCGAAAGTGTTTGCAAAGCATTAGAGGTCCTTTTCTTTGCCTGTTTTATGTTTTCCTTTTTGAGAGGTGATGGAATTATGTACTTTTTTCTTGTTCAACAAGTTTATTATTATAGACAGGAATTCTTAATGAATATTAAGTTACCTTTGTTGCAAGTCTTGGTAAATAATTACTTGAAATTGCATTTGGAACATGTTCAATCTCATGCATGGAACTCATGATTAATTCATAAAGAAACTTTTCTTTTTTGGCTTGAAGAAACATGTTGAGTTTTTAGTGGCTGTCTCATATTAAACTTGTCATTCCTTGTGTAAGTTTGCTTATTGATGTTTTCATCTATTCTTATTATCTCTTTGGCTATCACATATAAGTAATTGCAAATATTGTTGATGCTGCCACGTTCTTAAATGCATCGGTTTTAAACTAGCTATTGTTAGGAATCTTGTGCTAATACACTACCCAATTTAAGGACAACAAACATTTAAAAGTTCTATTTATTTCTATTCTTGTTTTCATGATTTTTCATTTATATTGAAATAGGAACTCAGATTTATACTGTCATGGGCAGTTATGATTAACTTCGTGCTTATAGTTGCATTTTGGAGCAAGCAGTTTGCCAATCAAGTCTTGAGAATGCTCATTAATCCTGTTTTTCTTTGCAAGTAGGCCGTCAATCTTAGGAGTTCTATAGCTTCCAGCGCTCAAAATGGAAAGGTAAATTCTCTCAGTTATGGAATAAATTCAATTGCTAAGGAGTTCAAAACTTGTTCTTGCACTTATGGGTTAGACTCCCGTTTTATCAGGCATGCAATAAATCCTACCAAGCTGGCTTACCCGAGATCAAAGAAGTTTTAAGATCTGCTTGTGAGACGCACGGATTACCCCTGGCTCAGACTTGGGTTTCTTGTATTGAGCAAGGTAAAGAGGGCTGCCGCCATTCCACTGATAACTATGTTCATTGCGTGTCTACTGTGGATGATGCTTGCCATATAGGTGACCCTAATATCCTGGGTTTTCATGAGGCTTGCTCCGAGCATCACTTGTTAAAAGGTCAGGGTGTTGCTGGAGGAGCATTTACGACTAACCAACCATGCTTCTCAGCTGACATAACTTCCTTTAAAAAGACTGAATATCCTCTTGCTCACCATGCAATGATGTTTAACTTGCATGCTGCTGTTGCAATTCGTCTGCGATGCATCCACACTGGTAATGCGGACTTTGTATTGGAGTTCTTCTTACCTACAGACTGCAGAGATCCCGAAGGACAGAAGAAGATGCTTAATTCTCTATCCATCATTATACGACAAGTATGCTGTAGCTTACGGGTTGTAACAGATAAAGAGCTAGAGGAAGAAACAGATTTGGCAGTTAGCGAAGTTATAGCCCCTTCGGATGGCATACCTAGTAGAGATCAGTTATCAAAAGAGCAGTGCACTCATTGTTCACTAAAGTGTTCTTCAGAAAATTCATCTTGGACTGCCAGTCTCACTGAGGTTCAACAGAACACTAACGCTCCCTTGGGACTTGGAAAGGAAAAACCAAGGGCAATGTTGGATGAAGAATTGTCTAAGGTGAAGCAGCATCATGAACATGTTGGCCTAAGAGAAAGTGTTGAGTGTGGAGATTCCACTTTCAATGAGATTAGCTTTACAAGTTTGGCTATGGGAAAAACAGGAGAGAAAAGGCGTACCAAGGCAGAAAAAACGATCACTTTGCAAGTTCTCCACCAACATTTTGCTGGAAGCCTAAAAGATGCTGCAAAAAGCATTGGTGGTAAGTTTTATTGCAATAAAGATAAAATTTATTGAATGTTTTGGTTGAATTGTAAGTTTGGTAGATAAACAGTTATTGTTTTCTTAAAAGAAGTTATTGTTGAAAAATGGAGAAAGAAAAAGGTTTAATGTTTGAACTAAAGAGGTCTGTCTGTTACTGTAATGGTTACTATCTTTCGAGTTCATGGTATGTGTTTCAGAAAGTATCCTTGCTATATAGCATGGTATGCTAATGAAGATAAATGTTTATTATTCTCTATTATTTCTCTATAATTGATGTCATTTCCTAATTTTCTTCTATTTTCAGTGTGCCCCACAACCTTGAAAAGAATCTGTAGGCAACATGGAATAAAACGATGGCCTTCTCGAAAAATCAAGAAAGTTGGACACTCCTTACAGAAACTCCAAAACGTCATCGACTCAGTACAAGGTGCCTCTGGTGCTTTTCATATTAGTTCCTTCTATTCAAACTTTCCAGAGCTGGCCTCTCCAAAATTATCTGGAACCAGTACATTAACAACCACAAGGCTGAATGATCAGCCAAAGCAATCAAGCATACAGCCTGAGGGTGATAATTTCCTGCCCCAAGCTGCTACTTCAAATTCACCTTCATCCTCATGTAGTCAAAGTTCCAGTTCAAGTCAATGCTACTCCAGTGAAACGCATCAACCTTCTAACATTTTTGGTAGTGAAGATCTTATAATCGGAAAAAGCTCTGGGGATTGTGAGCTGAAAAGGGTCAGAAGTGACGTGGAGCTGCATGCTGTAAGTCAAGAAGGACCAAAGCTGTTCCCAAGATCCCAGAGCCTTCAATCTCTCAATGAACAGCTTATTTCTGACAGTCTTCATCCCATATCGAAGAATACTAGCCAGATTGCTCAAGATTTCAATGCTCAAAGGATAAAGGTCACATATGGAGAAGAGAAGATCCGACTCCGCATGCAGAATAAATGGCGATTTAAAGATTTATTGCAGGAAATTACACGACGATTTAATATAGATGACATAAGTAGATTTGATCTCAAGTACTTAGATGATGATTCTGAGTGGGTCTTATTAACATGTGATGAGGATTTGGAGGAGTGTATTGACATATGTCAATCATCCCAGGGCAACACAATTAAACTCTCACTGCAAGTTTCTCATCATAATTTGGACTGGTCTTCAGGTAGCACTGGTCCTTTGTGATCTAAAGTTGTGATGCCAGCGGGTAGTATTCGTATGAATGCTTTCTCTCGTTGATTCAGATTTCAGTTTTCTCAGGGCAACAAAATTAAACTCTCATTGCAAGTTTCTCATCATCACTTGGGACAGGTCTTCAGGTACCACTGGTCCTTCGTGATCTAAAGTTGTAGGACCAGCGGGTAGAATTCATACGTATGCTTTCTCCCATTGATACAGATCATGGCTCAAATCGTGCTTGGTAAGTTATGAGAAAATCGATCCTGGCAGCAGTCTGAAACAACGTCTTTGAGAGCAGAAATCTTAATCCTCCTTGGTGACGATTACCGTTGTTGGAATGCTGTGTCGAATGAAACAATGGTTTCTTGGCCTAGCAGAAGTTAAATAAAAAGAGAAAAGAAAAATTTGAAAGGAAATAATTCTGACAGGATTCAGGGAAGTAGAGTTTGACGACCGTTTTCTACTGGAGGAACCAGAGGTGGTTTTAAGTTTAAAAGTTTCATTCAATACCATGAACGCCACCTTAAGCTGCCTGTGTTTCTGAGGCAGAGGCTTGAGTGCGTGAAATTGGTGCACTTGGAATCTGTTTCTCTTTTTCTAGATGAGATTTGCTGTATATTTAGTCAGGACTAGAGCAGTAAACTGCTGTGTCAAGTGAATTTATCAGAAAAAAAGAAGAGATTTGCCTTCCCAGTTTTTGAATTCTTTTGAATATGCCCTACAGATATAAATGTGTATATATTCTGTCAGGTAGCTTTTATTTTCATGATAACAGAGTTTCATTGCAAGCGGTTGGAGCCCAGGGAGTGCCATTTCCCTCCATGTGTATTTGTTTTTAACAGCAACTAAAAAAATATTAATGCTATTACTAAACGAAGCAAAGAAAGGAGACAATGATCAAGTACTTGAGGAGAGAAACAGTAGTCTATGTTGTGTGTATAGCTGCTTCTCTCGGTAAACAAGTTACTAATCATAGTACGAGTACAGAGAGATAAGAGTTTGAGATGGAAAATAATGAATCAGATTGTTGGCAGTGAGTAAGAGAGGGAGCTAGAGCTTTTCCATATTTACAAATCACCATTCCTCTGCAAAACCTACATACAAACATTGCCTGAAAATATCCTTTTCCGGTCTTTGATTACTAAAATGCACTTCTATATGAACTCAATATGTCCTCGTGATCATCATCAGTTTCATCAGACTTAAAAGTACTATGGTCTTCAGCAACATCTGCTTCTTGATCTCCAACTGCTTCATCCTCATCCAGCTCAGCTTTTGTTGCTTCCCCCTGCAATCACATATGCCAATGAAGATGCAAAATTCAATTAGATAGCTACAAAAGTGGTAGGCAGTACGTACCCAATTGTTCATCCATCTATAGTTCCCTTTTCAAACAATCATGACAGTAATTATCCACCACCATCCAAAGAAAACAAAAAAACATGGTTGTGGTTAGCATAGCATGCAAGACAAATGTGAGCTATGGTGTGAAATACATGAAGAGACTCAGACTAGGATAGTCCAGATTCAAAGATTTCTCCAAGCATCAACATAGTTGGATAGTTTTGGATTGTTTTACTGTTTATGACCTATTAATTTCTCAACAATTCAGTAATAGGTAAATATTCCAAATGCATGTAGCGATTCCCACACAGATTTAAGTCCTTACGCAGGAGACGTCTTCTCATCAACATGTTCACCACATGTTATGTGATCAACATTGCACCATGGCAAATGATCATCAATATTGAAAACAAAAAAAAAAAAAGAAAAGAAAACATACATTAGTTTCAGGAGTCAACGCTGCCTTTTCACGTGTCAAATCAATCGAAACATCTCCATTAGACTCCCGCTCTGCCTGTCCAGCAACTTGGTGCAAATGTTCAATCACCCTCTCAAAATAGGAATGATCTGCAGGATAGTAAAATGATATTACACCTAAGCATGGCACGACTCACAATAAGTGGACCAGTGGAGCTTCTGATAGCAAACACAATAAAAACAGAATCCACCTTTGGTACGACTTGCTAAAGCCTCTGAAAGCCTCAATGGATATCGACGCTCTTCATTCTTGAATTTCAACTTAATCTGATGACGACTTCTTCCAGGAAAAAGTTGTTGTATCAATGAAAAATCAGGCCCAAACTGCCGAATGGCCTAAAACATATTAGAGCATACATCAATTGAAAATCAGACCATAAACTCATTGTAGAAAGTGGTGAAAAAGTCCTAAGATGCTAACCCCTCTCTTCATAATACTAAAATAAGATTCACATTAATTTTACCACATCAATTCATTGACACACATGCAAACTAAGATCCGGACAGAACAATTTTTGCAGTACTAGAAAAGATATTTTATGCATTTTTCTTCGACTACATTGCAGATATAAACAAAACTTGGTTTCCAATTGAAAGATAAAAGAGTTAAAATTCATCATGCACATACCCCATAAAACAATTCTGTATCTTGTTTTGTCCATTTTGCTCTGGGTTCTTTGTCCATGTAAGACTGGTAATTTAAGAAGAAGGAACTCGATTGAGCCCCACCACTCATTTGATCATCTGTAAATCCTTGGTCTTGTTCTGAAGCAATAGAGCTTTCTTCATTATGAGCATTTTCCTCAGGAAAAGTGTCTTTGGTACTGCACAGAAGATTATATAACCAAAAACATAAATCAGTGGACTGCACATTATGTCAAAAATGAGAAACGATTACAAAAATGACAAACTCACAAGCAAGCCAGTACACTCAGTGATGCAGTGCGGAAGTAGAAACAATAAAAAGTAAACTAAAAAAGTGAAATAAAACTATAACAAAGGTTAAAAGTGATGTAAAATCAAAGTTGGAACAAAATAACTAGATAACTGGGTTTTGGGGTAGTAAAACCTCTAACCAAAAATATTCCAATATAATATGGCTAACAAATGTGTCTCAAAAACTATTTATACTAGGTTTACAGCAGCTCTTAATCCTAGCCCTTCATAAAAATTAAAAGATCACATGCTAATCATATGACCATATGAAAAAAATAAAAACATAAACTAACCATAAACCAAAGGCAGTAAAAACAAATAACATATAAAAATAACTAATTTAAATAAGTTCTAGAATGCTCCTGCATCACTCTGTTTAGTATTTGTAGTCAACAAAAGAAATATCATAACCTCAAGGGAAGCAATTGCTACCCAAAGCCTAGTTAGGTTTTGACAGCATAATTTCAACCTACTCTAACAACACTTCCACAGACACTAGAATATGAGAAGTAACCTATTGGGTAAGAGGGAGAGAGAGAACAGTGTGCCATTAAGATGCCAAAACATAAGTTTGCAATAAAAATGCAACATATTGATTGAATTGAGAAGCATTACATGAAAAGTATTGAAAATGGAAGAAAATAAACACAAAGTTTTATCAGGATGCAACTATGGTTAAAAGATTCACATACCTTTGATTGTTCAACTGTATTTTAGATGCTTTTGCCCCTTTCTTCTGCATTATATGAAGATTTAGGTCAGGGAGTGGACAATAGAAATGAATAATCAAAAATAGTATAAATGACTATTCTAATGTAAAAGTCCTTTGCATGGTTGCAGTGGAAGCATGGTAACTTTTATAGAAAAACAGAATAATTACCGCTATTCGCTCCTTATAATCTGCAAGCAGAATAATATCCTTCAAGGCCACCTTTGCAAAGTCAATTTCATCCTCCGGGGTGTGAAGTAAAGACTCATCCACTACAAAAGAAAAAGGAAATGATTAAAAACTAGATAAAGAATAACGTCTCACAAACTTTAATTTGTAGTAGCAGTAACAACCAAATCTTCTCTTTCTACGAGTTGAATGAGAAAACTTCCGGGGCTGTTCTTCTGTTGGCTGATCGGATGCTTCATTCACTTTCTTTTGCTTTTCAACTTGTTTTTTTTTAGTTGTCTTACGCTTTCGAGGAGGTTTTTCATTTTCAACCATGGGTTTCTTTGACCTCCTAGAAGTTCTCCTCTTTGAAAATGCACTCTCCGCATTATATTCATCATCATCATCACCATCATCTCTATCCTCATCTATAGCAGAACTAGTGGGAGGTTCAGTGGCTGGGCCATCATCATTACAAGTCCCATCCTCATGATCATCAACAAGCTTAGGACTGGTTACCTGCTTTCTCAACTGCTTTGTTGCTTTACCATTTTCATTCCCCCCATCACTAGCAGAAGATTGTTTGGACTTTTGAGATGGATTTGGTATTGGAGAGGCCTTCCTTTTCCTGCTATTAGAGCACTAAGAACCAACAGGAGAACATAATCAGGATAGCATCAAATAATGCAATTTCAGAAAGAGTTTTATCCCTGTCAAAGATTACATACAGGTGAACGTCATGCATAAAAAGATATACCAGTTTTCCAGGCATGCTAGGAACATCTCCAGAAAGTGTAACACCTGGGTTAGAAGCTTCTGTGAGGTTTGTCAATTCCTCATTCACTGGGAACTCAGAGGTAGAAGGATCTGGAGGAATAAAAGCACCTAAATCCATGGGTGAGCGATCAGGAATTGAGTTCTCCATGCACATAGTTTCAGAAGGAATAAACGGAGAGTTTGGAGGATGCATAGCAATATCAACCACAGCAGGTTGAGATGGGACCACACTAGTTTGTAACCTGGTCTTGGGTTTGAATTTTCCAGCATGCCGTCCTAAAGTAAAAAAGTATTTGAAATATGCACAAAAAAACACCCTGAGATTAACATGGGAGCTACTCTAGCACATACCAGAAGCAATGGTTGCACCAGACATGATATCTTGAGTCTCCACATCAGGGAAAGCCCCTGCTTCCTGAAATTAATCAATATTAAACACAACTATATAAGGTGGTAAATAAAAACAAGAAATTCAGTAATTTTTATGGAATTGCTAATCTTCACCTGTGCTCCTGTTCTGTCATCATCAATCTGAATAGTTCCATTATTATTAGAAGATTGAGTAAGAAATTGGTCAAGACATTCCAACCCAGAAAATATATCTGCATTCTGAAAGTAACATCAATGTGTTAACTTTTCTTTTTCCTTTTTCTTCCTTCGATTTGTCAAATTGTACTGAATGATCTGTAGCCAAATAAAGAAAAATGCACTGCATACACCAAAACCATGAAGGAGATATAACATTTTTTCTTTTACCTCCCCAACTGATCTTCCAAAACTAGAATGTGAATCATGACAACCATTGGAAATGGCAACCTCTGAAAGCAAAGAATCTGTGACAGCAACTTGAGAAGAGGTCATTCCTTGTGAGCTCCTACAGTCATCGACAACGCCATCAGCGTCTACAATACAAGCAGAATTGGAGCCCATTAATGCTAGAATAACAGTCTCTTCCTTCTTAACATTAGGGAGTTCAGAAGGTATTGAAGTAGAAGAACCTTCCTTACCTTTAGGTCTAGTCTTGGGTTGAAACTTGCCAACAGCTCGACCTGCCTCAGAAATTAATGTCACTACCCTGTCACTCAAGTATAATTCTCTGAACAATATGAAGTAATGAAAAGGATCAACTCACCATTATTTGTGACTTGGTTTGCAACATCATCAAAGGGATCCAAATCAAAATCTACCTAAAACCAAATAAAATTCAGAAGCCAAAAACAGTTATCAATATCTAGCTTGTCATAAAGAAACTCAAACACAAAAGTCAAAGACCATTACATCTTTT